GTAATTTTTACACACTAGAAGTGAAATTTAGAGCACACTGAAACAGTGAATGTTTGAGTGCAAAGCAAAAACAATAAAAACAAATTCACAGCAATTGCCATTTTTTATTAGTTACTGGTATGTCCAAGGTCTAAAGGTAGGTAATTAGTAATGCCATCATGTGGCCAAAAGAGAACTAGCCCCGGCCGGTGTGGCTCAGTGGTTGAGCATCAACCCAGGAACCAAGAGATCACTGGTTTGATGCCCGGGTTTCAGACTTTATCCCCAGGGAGTGTTCAGGAGGCAGCCAATTTGATGATGTTTCTCTCTCATTGATGTTTCCATCTCTCTATCCTTCTCCCTTCCTCTCTCTATAAACAATCAATGAAAACATTAAAAAAAAAAGATTACTAGAAGGGGAGTCTGGAACCCTGAGAACAAGTCCTGGCTGTCATTATATAACATTATGATATGTCACAATTACCAGTTTCTTTATTTGTAGAATGGGAAACTGGGCTTGACACGTCTAAGAGTCTTTCCAAGTTTGAAATACTAAGAATTCTTATTCTTGTAAAAATTATATAAATCATATATTAAATATCTTTTTTAATCTAGTTATTTTTAACCCATGACAAAGATAGAGCTGCTAAAGTAGAAAACCAGCCTGTGTTTTTTAATCAAATATTTCTAAGAATAAGAACAGAAATAATAACTGTACGAAATAGTTTTAAAGAGCTGTTTTTCTCCATCTAGGAGACAGTAACTCCTGAGCAATACAGAATATAGTTTCTCAAACTGATTATTTCCGATTATCAAGAAATATAATTTCCTGCCTTCCCTCTCCTTTACTGTGAAAATATCCTTGCATAAGTGTAAAAGTGAATCCAGAATCTCATCTAATAAATGTCTACCTTCACTTCATGGTGCTGCTCTCTGAAGGCTAGAGGACTGAACAGATTTTACAGCAGGAAGAAAGCACTTACCAAACTGTTTTTAACCTTGTAAGTCCTCATGGTGTAAGTCCTTTTCGTGTAGACTTTAGAGAAAGATTTAAATGGAACGCAGAAATGGTATGAAAGATTCCCAAACTAGAGCTGCAAAGCCTCTAATGTCCTCAAGAATGTTAAGCCCCGTGTTGGAACATTAGGCCGAAAGGGACAGAGTAAAACAGAATCCCTAAGGAAACAGTCACAGTTCACTTGTTGTTTTTTTTTACATCCACTTTAATTTAAAAAAAAAACAGAAAAGAAAGGTATAAGTTATTTCTAATTAAATATTGAGGTGAGCATAATCCACCTAGGCTGCCAATCAAAATATTTTAAAATAATTTATCATTTGTGATTTGCTCACTTATTTCAAGGAAGCTTTTCTCCACCTCTGAAAAAAGCATCTTGTCTATTATCGACAATATGAATCTATGTAGCTCCAAATTTTATCGAATGTGCTTCGAAGTCTACTTATTTTGTAAAAACGTCTATCCGCTACAAGGTACCTTACAGGTCACCATAATCACGCATGGCAGCAAAATTTATGGTACATATGCACAGTGGGCAAAAGTAGGTTTACAGTTGCATTATGACATTCTTTTGGGTTAATATAGCTATTGTGCTAATCATAACCTGCATGTCTTTTCCCATATGAACAACTGTAAACCTACTTTTGCCCAGCCCTGTATAAATGCTGCAAACCAAAGGGTTATATTGAAAGGGAGAGTTACAGTTCAGGATCAAATAGCTATATTACCCTAAAATCTTGCCACTTTAAGTAGAGATTTATTGGACTTTTTACAGTTTTTAAAATGGATGGATTTATCAAGTGCTTAAATTTTTAAGTACAAGTATCCCCCACTCTTTAAAAGTTTGAGTTAGGCTACTTCACTTTTAGGAATGAACTATGTTAGTACCTAATCCCACTAACCAAAAGAAACCCAAAAAGGACCTTTGGCTTTTAGATTAATGGTAATTGCTCCTTCCCTTTATACCGTTTCAGCCTAGGAAAAGTTTCATAGGAACACTCTACTTTCAGATAGCAGGGGAAACCTGTATTTTTCTAACTTTCTTCAAATGAAGCTTATATAAACAATAAGTAAAGGGTGTTTTCTCTGAAACCTTCGTTAAGCTGAGTAATAAAGTGTATTACTAACCAAAACATATCTTAAAAGATAGGTAACTGGTAGGTTTCTAGGATAAATAATGCATAATGGAACAGTGTTTAAAACAAGTATACTTAGCCCGGCTGGTGTGGCTTAGTGGTTGAGCATCAACCCAGGAACCAAGAGGTCAGGGTTCGATTCCTGGTAAGAGGACATGCCTGGAGTTCAGGCTCAATCCCCAGTAGGGACCTGCAGGAGGCAGACAATCGATGATGCTTCTAGCTCTCTATCCTTCTCCTTCCTCTCTCTCTAAAAATCCATAAAAACATTTTTTTAAAAAAAACAAGTATACTTAAGTGATACTTTCTCTTTTTTGTTAAAGCTCGAGTCTTTATGACTTTATTGTTACTTTTTTTCATTATTGATTTTTAGAAAGAGAGTAAGGGAGAGGGAGAGAGAAACATCGATATTAGAGCAAAACATGGATTGGCTGCCTCTTGCTCTGACCTGGAATCTAACAGGCAGCCTTTTGGTGCACAGGGATGACACCCAGCCAACTGAGCCACACTGGCCAGGGCTAAAGTGATACTTTTCATTTTTCTGTACCTCTTGTATTTATTGGATTTACATAGCACCTATCTTCCAGAGAACTCAGAGTGCCTTATAAGATTATAGACTTAAGAACATTATGACTGCACAATAGCAATTGTTTTCAAACAATAATATTTCTTACCTTAAGGATGTCCTATTGCCATGTATTGGAATGGAAAGGAGTGACATGATAGGTAAGAGAGCCATGGCAAATGGGGAAGTCCATACAAAGGAAGAAACAAGGCAATGAAAAAGAAGCAAGTAATCCTAACTTCAAAAAAGTTATCCACCTAACAAGTGAAAACTCTGCTTTATTTTATCACAGATTCTGCGTCAGTGAGTTGATGGAGAGAAAAGCTAGACTAATGAATCTACTGCTTTCCTGGATTTAAGATAAAGCTTGTTTTTTTTCTAAAATATGTTTTTACTGATTTTTTAGAAATGGAGGGAGAGGGATAGAGAGATAGAAACATCAATGAGAGGTGAACATCATTGATCGGCTGTCTCCTGCACACCCCCCAACTGGGAATTGAACCCTGATCTCTTAGTTCCTGGATTGACAACCACGGAGCCAGACTGGCTAGGCAAGGCTCACTTTTAACTGTTAGGTTATCACATGATGAAGAAATAATTCTTTTGAATAGACACTCTATAAATACTACAATTTGGTGTTTTCTACAAATCATTAGACTTACCAATAAATGTCCATCAGCAGTTTATTCCTAAGATGTGTGCTCTTATTAGATGTGTGCTCTTATTACATGTTTTCACTATTTTTAGCAGGCTAATATCTTCATCATTCTTTGGAAATAATGGCAGCCAGCCAGTTTATGAATTCCTGATGAAAACTTAAAATGTTTAATGGAATTTTAAGTACCATATATTTAAACTTTTCTCAGGTAATTATAGGATTTCAAGTATAACCATAAATAATGAATTCTATAATATTTCATAAGATAAACCTTATTAAAGTTAATATAGTTAAAACATCATATTTTAACTATTTAGTCTAATCTACACAAGGAACAAATTACTGTTTTTTGCCCTATTTTGAAAACTTCTGAATTTAACTCAAAAAAGGAGTAGGCAAAGATTTCTAGAACCCAAAGTGCTATCTAATCCTTTTTCACTCTTGAAAATATGGAAATGAAAATAATATTTCAAATATAAAAACGCTGCAGAACATAAAAAAGAAGACCCTAAGACATGCTGATGCAAGTTCATTACACTTTAAGTTAAACAATAATGGCTAAATTAAAGTCACTTTATAGAACAGCTTGGAGATGAACGGAATTTATTTTTAAGCTTAATTGGAAAATAACTGTGAAAAAAACTTGTCTATTATTGAGAATATCAATTGATTCACTGATTGCTTTATTTATACCTAAATGTGTTTTATTCTTCGCAAAGATGTATATACTAACATAGAGCTTAGCTAAAATCAAAATATCCCCAAATTCTTAAAAACTGAATTGAACATAAGAACCTGTGACTATTAGTTGAGACACTTGTTTGTGCATTTAGACATTTATCTCACGTTTTTTCCTCAAATGCATATCCTATCATAACAATGTTTAAAACATATTTAGCAGGATCTCTGATAAAATTATCCAGCCCAGCCGGTCACAGTTTGACTCTTGGTCAGGGTATATGTCCGGGTTGTAGGCTTGATCCCCAGTGTGGAGGCAGCCAGTCAATGATTCTCTCTCATCATTAATGTTTCTATTTCTCTTTCCCTCTCCCTTCCTCTCTGAAATCAATAAAAATATATTTTAAAAAATACAGAACAATTATCCAAATATATTTTTTAAATATTCTCAGAAAAATCTAAATTATAATTTACATTATGATCTTAGAAAAATTTTTACAATTTAAAGTCTTTGATTTTAGAATATTCTATCTTTAAGACATTTAATTTTCATACATTTATTTTCATTGTATTTGTTTTATACTCTAAACACCCAAATTTCATACGGAGAGGTTTATCAAGTAATTTTGTTCTACCCTAAAAACTTAATCTAGAAAAAGTCCCAAACTGTGAACTGTTTATTATACAGAACTGTTCCTTCTCACCAACTTTATAATGCTCTCACACAATTGTTTCTGAAATAGCATTAATTTGGGGACCATAAGTCTTTTCACATGAATATTCAAATTCTCTATTTAAATCCAGAAAGGATCCACCATCTCAAAATGATCTCCAAAAGTCTACTTATGTAAGATATTGCTCCAGTTTCATTCTCAACTATAATACCTTAATTATCACTGGAACCAAGACCACTCAGTCACACTGTCCCTAACCCTTTATTTCAAATAGCAAACTTGAACACAACTGTCATTCTTTTAAGAATCTTTATTGAATTTTTTTTTAACAATTTAGCCTGTTGGATCTCGATGCAGTTTGTAAAACAACTTGCATATAGTTTCATATAAACTGCAATCAAAAAAGTAATTTACTTTCTCAAAGAAGTTATCTGAAGTTGCAAGTTATTTTTTGGAATATGCAGAACAGTAAAATATAAGCATGCTCTCGGATGCAGGTGCTCCTGTGTACTATGGAGTTACTTTGAAGAGCTTGCTAAGGTCTGCAGGCAGTTTATGGAATGCAATCATTTTCTTCACAATTTAGGTACATGAGAATAAAACTGATACTTATGAATAGAATATTTTTCTGAAAAAGTTGAGGCAGCTTTTGTTGAATGCTATCTGTATTGGTACACTTGTTACACATTGTACTAAAAGAAACAGACAGCCAGGAGTCCATGTTCATGCTGAAACTTGAGAAGTCCCTCCATACATGTTGAGTTCCAAGAAAGGGAAGAGGGTTAAAGACTATGAAATTGTTCATCATCATCTTACATTAATGGACCACACCTAGACACCTTACATGACAAAGGAGCAAATCCCCTTCACTGCTTTCAGTCAAGGCCAGTGGTATCTACAGTGGAGGGTGGAGGTGGAGCAAGCCTAGGACAGGATAAAGCTTAATTAAGTCTACATCTCATGCATAGTTTGTCCTTGTTCTGGCCTCGAATGTTTCTCAGACATCCGAATTAGAACTGAGGTTTGTTAACCTGGGGTCCGCATTGATTTCATATCTGTAATGATAACCTTCCATGTGATCCCTGCAGGCATCTCTGATGTTATGCATCCACTTTTTTATCCCCTTACGGTTCAAATACAAAACCAGTAGGAAAATGGCACCTATCAGGGCTAAAACAATACCTAGGAAGACATAAGAAGTCTGCAGGGATGGAGGGAGGATAGGATCACAGTCCAGGTCGGAGCTGTTGAGTTCCAGGAGGACCCGATTCCTCATTTTTTCCGGGAACGCACAGGTGAGCCCGGCTTTTCCCTGCACTATCTCTGTCTCCTTGAGCCAGGTCACCATGTCCACCATGTGGCAGTCGCAGACCCAGGGATTGTTGTCCAGGAAGACCCTGACTTGGGGTAGGCCTTGCAACTCCGCCAGGGTGCCGTTGTGAAGGGCCTTGAGGGCGTTGTCTTCCAGGTGGAGGCTTTCTAGGTGTGTCAGGTTGCGGAAGGACACATAAGTCAGGCTCACCAGCGAGTTGTTGCGCAGGTCCAGGTGCCTGAGGCTCGGCAGCTGGGCCAGCACATCGTGGGGCAGGTAGGCAAAGCAGTTGCTGGTCAGCTCCAGGCGGCGGAGCCCGCGCAGCGCCTGGCCAGCTCGCAGGGCGGCCGCCACCATCCCCTCGAAGCTCCGGTTGTGCCGCTCGTCGTCATCAGGGGGCAGGATGTGGTTCAGGATCAGTTCCACCAGGGGGCTGGGGGGCGAGACGCTGGCGTTGCTGCCCGAGAAGGCGAAGGGGCTGAGAGAGGCCAGCGGGTTGTGGCTGAGGTCGAGCTGGCGCAGGCTGGGCAGATGCTCGAAGGCGCCGGCGCGCACCTCCTCCAGGCGGCTGCCGCTGAGGTTGAGCGCGGCCAGCTCGGCCAGCGGCGGGAGGCGGGAGAACGCGCCGGCGGGGAGCACGGCCAGCTGGTTGCCGGTGAGGAAGAGGTTGCGCACGTAAGGGGGCAGGTCCGCAGGCACCTCCGTCAGGTTGCGGTTAACACACTTGACGGTGCGCGCCGCTTCCGAGCACTCGCACGGCGGGGGGCATTGGCCCGGCAGCGGGGGCTGGGCGGACGCCGCCACGAACGAGGAGGCCCGACGAGGTCGCCGAAGAGGTGAGAGAAGAAGGAGAAAACCCAGCCCAGCAGGACCAGCGCCAGCCCGCGCGAGCCGCAGCCAAGCGTCCCCGACGGCGAGGCCACGAGCCCCAACCCCCAGGGCATCGCGAGCACGAGGCTCCCCGGGGCTGGCCTGGGCCGGCGCCCGCTCCGCAGGCTCGAAAGCTGGGCCCCGAGGGCGCGGGTCAGCAGGGAGCTTCTGGAGAAAACTTTGCTCTCGTGGGGGTACGCCGCAACCGGAACTTGGCTAGCGCCCCCTGGCCACGGGCGTCCCCCTCCCGGGGCGATCCCCCCGCCCCTGGCCACGAGGAAGTACGCACGCGGGTCCGGACGCTCCACTCGCGCTCCTCTTCCTGCCGCCGCCCCTGCGTGCAGGCACCTCTCGCCTCTTTTGTGGGCGCCTCACGCTGGATCCGCTGCAGGACCTGGGACGAGCGGGAGACAAGCGTGAGGAGCGGCACCCGCCGCCGCTTTCCGAGTGCAGGAACCGGTCTATCCCAGCCAAGTGGTCCCACCCCGTCCCCAGGACCTCCCTCCCAAAGCCCTGGAGGGTCTCTCCTCTCCCCCCACCTCCCGCCCCCCCTCCTCCCCGTCCCAAGCACATCCTTACCCAGGAGAGGGGCGCGCATCCCGAGACCGGAGCGCAAAGTCTTCCTCCCGCCCTGGCCCAAGCTATATACGCATCTTCCCAGCCTCCCGCCCTCCTCCTTTCGCGATCAGACTTGTCCCTCGTGCGCAACTTCTTGCTTAATCCCCAGCGCCTTCCCGACCAAACTTCTCGCTCACCCCCCGCCTCCGCGGACGACCTGCCTTCCGGGTCTCCGCCCCCACGCGGACTTCTCCTCCGGGTCCAGGTTAGGAGGAGAGGGAAGTTTCAGGTTGCAAGAGTCTTTTGATGTCCCTGAGGCCCTCCCCGGGCTAAGCCCCCGGTACAGCTGCTCCCTCCTCCCCCCAGCCCGCGCCTCCGCCAGCCCCTCGGAGCCCGGAGAGGGTTCGAGTCTTCTCCGAAGGGGAGGGGAAAGGCCGCGAACAAAGCGGCGGAGACAGCCGGGACCGACGCTCCTCCCGCGCCTGGAGCTGGGGAGGAGCGGCGCCGCCTTCCGGTTCTCGCCCGCGCGGCTGGCTCCCAGCTGCTCACCTCCGCGCCCGCCGGCTCCGGAGACAACTCCGAGTCCCACCAGAGTCGCGGCGACTTTCGGGCTCCGAGCTGCAAGTGCCAGCTCCGCTCGCACCCCAGCCCCTGGCCCAACCTCCGCCGCTGGGAAAAACCAACCCGGGGGGCGGGGGAGGGCCAGGCCGGTGCAGGGACTTTTCCTGCCGCGCGGCCAACCTCTGTAGACCTTGGCAGGGAGATTTAGGAAAGGGGACCGGGGGGATCGGGGCTTCGCGCCTCCTCCTGGTGGAAATTAACGAGGACTATGCGGGAGAGGATGAGGGAATCCCTCTCTCCCCCCTCTTCGGCATCCTTTGGTGGTTCCTCGTTTTGCATACTGTATTTACCTTGGACTGGAACAAAACCGCTAATGAATCTCGTGGAATTCACCCAGATTCGGGTACCCAGGGCAGTAACGAGGTAGGTTCAGGCGTGACGGAGCAGCGTGAAGTAGCGGCATGAAGAAATGAGCTGAGAATGCACAGCGGCCGCCGCAAAACGCCCGGCAAACTGCAAGGGAGCGTCAGAAAATCTTCCCGTCAAAGTGATACCTTAGATGCCAACTTCTGATTTAGGTGTAATGAATGCGTCCCCACCCATCCCGCTTGAACGGTTATGGAACTTGTAAAGAGAGAGCCAACTTTAAGATAATGGAGAGGAGATTCATTCTTGATTCATTAGCTTTTCTCCTCGAAAATTAAAAGCAGAGGGGAGAAAAAGCAGCCAAAGCATCCTAGAAACAAAAGGCAAATAGCAACGCCGTGATTCACCCGGAAAGCGGACCCGCCCCCTCTCACCAGATGTGGCGGCGGTGGGTAGGTGCCAGTCACTAAAGCTAGGAGAGTGCACAAGGTGGAGTGGGGGGGGGGGGGTGAGGGGGAGGCCGCCCAGGGAGATCTGAAGCTTGGCCTAAAGTCTATTGCTCAGCAGGGGAGGGGGTACAGAGGTTGGAGTTGGAGAAGGGAATGGATTGAATGACTTACTTACTGGGAGGATGTTATATTGGAGAGGTTTGGGCCCTGAAAGCTCTGTCCTTGCTCTATCAATAACTGTATCCCCTTTGTCCCAATCAAATAATTTCCGTGAAAGGGTGAGAAGGTGCTGGTTAGTCAGTTCAGGTTTCTTCATTTTGGAGAGAAAAGTGGAAATTAGAGAAAACAGTTGGGAAATGAAGGTCTGGTAATAAAATGATCAGATAAGGAATGCTGAAGTTTGTGCACGTATTGTACTCTCAAGTTCATTCCTGACTACTTTTGTGACAAGAGATAGTCTGCAGAGCCAATAGCAAAAATGGCCCAGACAGGAGAGGGTTTGGAGGTTGCAGCTATCTGAGCAAAAAGTCATTTTTGTTCATTTTCGTCGTCTTCACCTTTATCTAAATCCCCTTTTATTATTTTTAAAGGTGTTTTGCAACCTGAATATGAAACACTTTGAAAAAAGAGTCTCAAAAGCTGTAGTCATGTTCTGTATGCCAGCTGTAGTGGTGGTTATGTAAATCAATACATGGGTTAAAATTCATAGATCTATGTACACCAAAACAAAAGAGTCCTGTTTGCTCTATGATACATTCTAAAACAAAATTAATTACTTCGGAGGGGGGGGAGGAACTGTAGTAATGCTCTGGCATGATATTAATTCTGGTTCTGATCTAAAGAGCAGTTTCTCTGTTAAGAATGAGAAGCACTTTACAATTTAGAAAGATTATATATAGTTTCATCTGATCCTCAAATCAACTCAGCAATATAGATATAATTAGTTTTATTATCTTGTTGCTACTGGTGGTGTTAACCTGTTCTGCAAATGAAAACTCTGGAGTCCTGAGCATTAACTGTCTTTTACTTGCCAAACTCTATGCTGATCACTGTATAGAAATTATATTATTTACTCAGCACATCAGTATTCAGGGAGGCACTCTCACTCCAGTTTTACAGACCACAAAATTGAGGCAAAAATAAATAATATAGTGTAGTTCCCCCTTATCTGCTGGGGATATATTCCAAGCAGGTAAATGCCCGAAACTGAGGACAATACCTAACCCCTCATAGACTGCTTATTTCCTATACATGATAAAGTTTAATTTATAAATTTGGCCCAATAAGAGATTAATAATAATAATAAAATAGAACAATTATAAAAACATACTGTAATAAGAGTTATGTGAATGTGGTCTCTCTCAAAATATTTTACTGTACTATACTCACCTTTTCACTTAAAGGAAGCACTTGACGGTTTCTCTTCGGCACATCTGAATTGCCAACCTTGCTACTGTTGCACTTTAGGGCCATTCTGAAATAAAATAAGAGTTGCCTGAACACAAGCACTTCAATATCTGGACAATGATCTGAAAACCAAGATGGCTACTAAATGACTAAGGGGTGGGGAGCGCAGGGAGCATGGAAACACTGGACAAAGGGGTGGTTCTTGGCAGGATGGTGTGAGATTTTATCATTCTGAACAGGCGCACAATTTAAAACTTATGAATTATTTGTCTCTGGAATTTTCTATTTAGTATTTTCCGACCTGGGTTGCCATGAGTAACTGAAACCTTGGAAGGGAAACTGTAGATAAGGGGGGACTACTGTAACTTTTTCCAGTGAATGCTGAGGTGGGGACCAGGCCAGATTTGCCTGCCTTTCGTGTATATCCCACATTCCACGTCTAGGCAAGGCTAAGGAGTGTGTGCAAAGCCTACTCTGCTACTCCAAAGCCTCATTCATCCTGGCTCTTTTCCCCCTGTTCTTCCCCTCCCTCCCTGCGGCTGGCGGTTGACTATGACTGCTGAACCAGGACCCCGGAACGGGATCACTTCTAACTCCACCACGCATTGTGTGACTTCTGTATACCTCTGTTTCTTAATCTGTAAAATAAGAACACTACTAAAACTTTAGGGCATTTCCATGAGAGTCAAGACAGTGTATGTAGCACACTTAGCAAAACTATCTGTTATTATTGTGCTCTCCTTAGTTATTCTCACCATTTATTGTGTACCTGCTATATCTCTGTAACTAACTGTGTTAGTCAGAATAGTACAGGGATGAATAGTTTATGGTCTCCTTAAATACAGTTGTGAGATTTAGCAAGTAAAATTTCAGGATCCTCAATTAAATTTGAATTTCAGTTAAACAATACTTTTTTTTTTTAGTATAAATATGTCCCGTGCAATATTTGGGATGTACTTATACTAAAATAATTCATTGTTTACATGAAATTTTAATTGAACTGGGCATCCTTTATTAAATCTGGCAATAAAGTATTTCATCACCTGGTGGAACAACCACAGAAACAAAAGCCTTCAATGCAGAACATTGAGTGCAGTTTCATATGTGTGCACCTTTCCAATCTCCTCTCTGTATATATTTTAACTTCTGTTTGTGCTGTTTTTATATGAATGGGATCAGAGAATTATCCATGACTTTTCTGACTTTAAAACACCATATATTCTTTCATGTCCATACATATAGGTATGTTTTCTTCTTTATTAAAGACTGCAAAATATTCCTTACTGTGGATTGTTATACCACATTTTTAACTGCCCTACTGAAAGATCAGTAAGTACTTTTTCAAGAAGTTTCCTTCAACTGAGAAAAGCTTACTAGGATTGATTCTATTTTGATTGTCATAAGCATTTAATTATCCTAAATTATCATACTTGCCTTACTCTTGACAGCTTGAAAATTTTTTGTTCATGATGCAATTTACATGCTCTGAAGCAGGATAGGATTTCTGAGCACAGTTTTCCTCATTTATTCTTCCATTCCGAAATGAAAAGAAAGAAGGATCTGAATACCCAGATGGAGAAGAATCAATTTAGTATATTTCGATTGGTCACTGTGTAGCCTCCAGGAAAA